GTTTCAACGATAAAAAGAAACACATAAAAGTCTAAAAAAATCAATTCGTTGGGCAACTTTTAATCAACTTCCTCCATCTTGCTATCTTGAGCATCAGCATCATCTTCAAGCTGAGGCATCTCTTCATCAACTTCAACAACATCATCATCATCAATGCTCAATCCAAGCTTCAACATCCTATGGATTCTGCTCCCGAAAGTGTTAGGTTCGTCGAGGCTAAAACCAGAAGTGAGAAGAGCAGTCTCAAAGAGGAGAAGAACAAGATCCTTCACAGACTTGTCATTCTTATCATCAGCTTCAGCTCTTTTCCTCAGAGCTTCCATGATCGCATTCTCTGGATTAATCTCCATCGTCTTCTTGCTGGACATGTAACCACCCATGCTACTGAAAGCTTGCGCTTTCATGATCCTCTCCATGTTTGCTGTCCAGCCGTATTCGCCAGTCACAAGACAGCACGGTGAGTCAACAACACGGTCAGAGACGATAACCTTTTCCACTTTGTCTCCCAAAACGCCCTTGATCACTTTGCACAGTCCTTCAAACTTGTCCTTAAGCTCTTTCTTCTTCTTCTTCTCGTCCTCAGACTCTTCTAGTTTCAATCCATCCTTGGTTGCAGATACAAGTTTCTTCCCTTCAAATTCCTTAAGCTGTCCAATAGCATACTATCGATCGCATCAACCATGTAAAGAACTTCATACCCTTTCTTCTTGAGCTTCTCCAGGAAAGGAGAATTCTCAACAGCCTTCTTGCTCTCACCAGTGATGTAGAAAATATCCTTCTGACCTTCCTTCATCCTTGTCACGTAGTCCTTGAGGCTGGTCAAGTCATCGCCGCTCTTGGTTGAGTGGTAACGGAGCAACTCAGCGATCTTGGTTCTGTTTTGTGAGTCCTCGTGGATACCGAGCTTCAGATTTTTACAGAATGCTTCGTAGAACTTGTTGTAGTCCTCCTTGTTCTCAGCAATTTCAAAGAAGAGCTCGAGGCACTTCTTCACGAGGTTCTTGCGGATGACCTTAAGGATCTTGTTCTGCTGCAACGTTTCTCGTGAGATGTTGAGAGGAAGATCTTCAGAGTCAACAATACCTTTGACAAAGCCAAGGTACTCGGGAATGATGTCTTGACAGTTGTCCATGATGAAAACACGACGAACATAGAGCTTAATGCTGTTAGGCTTCTTCTTAGTGTCAAAGAGATCAAAAGGAGCTCTCTTAGGAACAAAGAGGATAGCTTTGAACTCAAGCTGTCCTTCAACAGAAAAATGCTTCACAGCCAAATGCTCTTCCCAATCATTGCTTAGACTCTTGTAGAAAGCAGAGTATTCCTCCTTGTTGATCTCCTCAGGCTTCCTCATCCAAATAGGCTTCTGCTTGTTCACCAAATCCCACTCGTGAGAAAC